ATGATGTCTCTCAGCCCAGGAGTTAAACTACTACATCCAAGAGGCATTTCATAATTGGGGTTATTCCTTCTGATATTCTACTGCTCATTCCCACTCAACTATCAACTAAAATAATGGATTTATTTGTATATGTTTCTTATTATAATCATTCCTTCTTACTTCCATTCTTTATTTTGTTCCTCTCTGTTTTATACATGTGGAAACTAAAGTGTAGAGAGATAAACAGACTTGGAGAGGGTCACTTAGATCCTAAATCATTGATCAAGTACTCAAACCCAGGTATGTTAGACTCCACCATGAAATATGCATCCTGATTCAAAAATCTGAGAGCTTGTGCAGTCTGACAACTCAAAAAGACGAACTTCTTATTAATCTGAAAATGAAATTGCCTAAATTTCCACACCATATGGCTGAATCCCAGCTGACAGGAAGCTCACATCTGCAACTCACAAGGCTCATTTCACTGAGTAGGCTGATGCGAGATTTGTGGGGTGGTCATTTCCTAATCTTCTCAGCACTAGTAGCAGCCGTGGTCTTTATTATGATGCTTTCTTTCTCCATTTTTACACAGAGAACAAATGCTCCTAATGATGGAGAGACAGATTTTATCCTAAATCGTTCTCTAAGTGACACATCACAAGCATAAGCAACAACAACAGAAATACCCACCTGTCTTGAAGTGACTAAGAACTACAGTAACTCTTCAGCCCTTAGTCTACATAGCGGTGGGTGGGGGAGGTTCTTAATTGATACCACCACAGCGTTTGTACACTAAGATTCAACTGAAGTGTTTGGACATCTAAAATTACCCTGTGTCTTGGCAAAGTCAGATTTTAAAGCAGTGAGTTTCATGAAGCACTAAGAAACTAATGGGAAGTGCCAAGCACCATTTGTACAAACACCATTTGTATAAAAGGATCTTGGCATGAGATACCACCATTTTTCCCCCTGGGCAATTATATTAGAGCTGGTAGAGCAAAGTACTCTTAAACAAGAGAATAGCCTGAAGAGTGTGTGAGTGTGTGAGTGAGTGTGTGTGTGTGTGTGTGTTTATAAAACCCTCAAACCTAGAGCTAACATGGAAGGTGCCATTTCAACAAATAATAGGTAAAAAACATTAATTGTGAGAGTTGGAAAAGGGTCTCAGAACAATATATTCACACATAATTAAGTGCATTGAGGCTGGAGTCCACGGGCAAGGTTTTAAACATTGGTTCATCCACTTACTAGAGCTTGATCTTGGGCAAGCTTCTTTACTTTTACAAGCCTTAGTTTACTCAACTGAAAATGGGACAAATTTGAGGAGGCAGCAAATTATAATGCTTTAAAGTAAAGCAGTCTGCAGTCAAAATACTTAGCTGGGAATTCGGGCTCTCACCTTTTGCTATGGCTTAGGTCTGTCATCTGTAAAACGGGGATGATAACAATGGTGCTCACCTTACAAGGTATTGCGGATGTGTAAATGTAATAATGACTATATAGCATGGTGCCTAGATCATGGCAAGTGGTCAGCAGACTTTATTTTTTTAAAGACTATCTTAAAGGGTTTTAAAAATAAGCACTAAGGGACATAGAGGGGGAAAGGAAAGGATGGAATTACAGCTGTAACTCCAGTCTCTGATCTTTGTCTCTCCAAAGTCCCACTCGCAACTCAGAGCAGTTCTGGTCTTTAATGTATTTTATTTATTGGGATTCATTATAAAATTTTTATTTTTAAAAGTGTATTTTTTTCTGAATTCAGAAAATTTGTTTGAAAACTTCTGCTCTAGACAGTTCCTGCGTTATAGATAGGAAAAAGCAAGGCCCTGATAGACAAAGGGTGTTTATTGTTCTAGCTCATGTCACAGGGGGGCATCTGGCCAGGGGTTAGATGCCCCTGGCTCTCCGCCTCTGCATCCTGACTTCTCACTTACACGGAGCAGCCTTGAGACGGTCACTTTCATTGTCTGACTCTGCTAAGCCTGATGCCGGTAGAGGTGATGCCCAAGTTTTGAGACTGAAAGAGGGGAGCATAATGGTGTCAGTAACAGTGATAGAAACGGGAAGTCAGGGACAAATACAGGAGGGAGAGTAGAGGGATGATGGAGAGAAGAGAGAGATAGGGAGGGAGAGAGAGAAGTTGATTGCCTAGGGGCGGAGGTGAGGACCAGGAAGAGGACAGCAGTAAAGAAGAAAGAAGGTGCCTAGTGAAACTAATAATACAGAGAATGAACAGTAATTCCCAGCTAGCACTTACTGAACGCTTACCATTTACTAGTCAGCTTACTAACCACTTCACATAGATTATTTCGTTCAATCCTTCCAAGAATTTTGGAGGGTAGATATTTCTATTACCCCAATTTATAGATTAAAAAAAAAACACAGGCACAGAGAAGTTAGATAATTTGCTTAAGGGCACATAGGTTATAAAGGATAAAGATGGGATAAAATCATAATAAATTACTTTCTTAGCTTTTAATCACTATATTAAATCACTATATTTCAGTGACTCTTAGGGAGCATTAGAAGGAAAAGTAGTATTAGTATTATTAACAGTAGAAAGAGCATGGGTATTAACAGCAGCAGCAGCTACCATTAACAGAGTACTATTCTGTACTAGGCATTGTGATAAGTACATAAATATGATCTCATTTAATCCTAGGGACAACTTGAGATGGTAGATGTTCATACTCCACTTGAGCAGAAAACTGGCTCAGCGATGTTGGTAACTTGTCTAAAGTCACACAGCTAACAGTTGACAAAGCAGGGAATAAGAGCCAGGTCAGCTCCAGCATCAGAACTCTTAAACTGCCATGCTAGACCGTTTCAGCATGCAGCCATTGAACACTTATTTGCTGTGTTCTAAGATTCGATGATTCCAACAGTGAGACCTCAGACATTCCAGCAAATGTTTTTACGAACAAATTCTTGGGCCCTGCCGCGAGAGCTTCTAATTTAGTAAGTCGTGCCTGGATCTATGAATGTAAACTTAAAGTAGTTCCCGAGGTTTCTTTTTTTTTTCTTCTCATAAAACTAAATTTATTCAATAACCTAGTAAAATTTTTGATTGTAAGTATCCAACAGAACAAAAAAAGACAGAACAGATTTGTAGGTTTCTGACATATTAATACAAAGTACGTCTTGCAGGCAAGGAGAGGTTAAAGGGGAAAAGAAAATTGTGGTTGAGGTCTAGTAATAAATGTATACAGAAATAGAGATGATCCTATTATAGTGTAATCTACCACGGATGCTATAGCCAAATGTACCAAAACTAAATAAATAAATAAAGGAACCATTTCAAAATAACTTAGGAGGAAGATAATAACGGCCGAGACTCATGTGACAGACCCCAAAGGCTGAGGGAGAGCCGACCCCACTCGCTGTGTGGTCTGTGCACATGGTGGTTTGCAGTTTTTTCCAAAAGAAAGAAATATAAAAATTTAAGTTTAGATTAAGAACTATAAAACTATAAGATGCCCAAAGTGTGGCTCACTCCTTGCTGTTACAAAAGAAAGAAATATAAAAATTTAAGTTTAGACTAAGAACTATAAAACTATAAGATGCCCCAAAGTGTGGCTCACTCCTTACTGTTCTTTGTACTATCCAATTTTTTAAATCCAGTTAAAAAAATAAGCACTGAGTCATGTGATTATGTAAGGTAGGCAAATGATCCTCCTTCATTATGAAAAACCTGAACTGGCAATATAGTTTTCCTGAACTTTTGGAAAAGAGGCAGTGAGAGTATTTTGATTTGGGTTCAAGTAAGCGGCGTTCAATGAAGCATTTAGAATCGAAAGGTTCCACGTTCAGGACTTACTATCTAACATCTCAATATTCACAAAGCCTGACTAAAAGAAGCCAAACCAAAGCCAACCTACTCAGCATTACCTCTTTTCTTTTAGTAGAATTTTAACATAGAGTGTGGGGGGAGGTGGGAACCAAAAAAACCCAACAAACCCTAATAGGTTAAAACAAGTCAAACAACTATTCTACACAGATAAAACCTTCCAAAAGGTCAACCAGAGTAATCCTGAGCTAAAAGTGAATTGTGCAGATTTTCAGTGAAGTCACCAGTCACGTGATACAAACAGAGGTGATTCTTAATTTACAATCAGGTTCGGTAACCACTGTGGCATGTATACGGGTCTTGGCTGCTTCCCGCAGGACTGCCAGTTATGAGGATGATGAGAATTCTATTACACTTCTGGGCAAGAACACAATCCCACCCAAAGCTTGCTGTTGGCAGATGTGCCACAAAGACTTCATGACTTGAGAAAGTTTTGCCAAGAACCAGGCTCCAGAAAAAGGGTTCAACTGCCTTGTTTTAAAAGAATCTTGTAATTGGCCTAAATCACTCTTCTAAACACCATTTCATGTTTCCTACCAAATGTACAGACCGATTAAATGATTAAAGTTTCCTTACCTAAAACTCGTAATCTCTCAGCTCCTACTACCACTTCATTGTTATCTGCAGAAAAGAGCAATTTTCCAGACACTGTCTTTACTTCAAACTTTTGGCCATAAGCTTCTACGGCTTTTGGACCTAGGGGAGAGAGAGAGAGAGTGAATACATTAGTCTTGTTGCATTTAATTATGAAGAGCTTTTCATAGAGCGCATACATCTGACAAGATTGTACTGGACTTTAATGTATGTGGATTGGTTTTCAGAAGCCAACTGTGAAAATCAGTCTCATGACTTGAGCCATGTCTTGTCAATTACTTTTAATCATATGCTCTCAGGCTATGATTTTAAAGCCCATCATGTCCTTCTTCCAAACTAATGCTTGAATAAGATTTCCCTCAGTTAACCACCAAATCACTGTCAAATACTTATAGACTGTGGGTTGAATGTATCAAGGCATGGAAGGCTCACCACCTCTTGAAGCAACCAGCATATCTTTGGCCTTTAAATTAGCTGAAATCTGTCTCACTCTGTACCTTTGACCCACTGGCTGCATTTGACGTCAGACAAAAGTCTATTTCCACAGTAAATAGATCATCTCTCGGCAGAAAATACTATAATATCTTGCAATTACTTGCTTAGGAAGTTATTGAATCTTTTATGTAGAATTTCATTCTGTAAAAAATGAATTTTAGAGGATTTATCATATGACAACAGATAGTATTCTTGAAGGTGGACCTATAACGGCATAAAGAAGAAAAGGCTCCTGATCCCATAGCACCTTATCTTCTGATAGAGACGGACAGATATAAGTTTAAACACTTATTAATAAGTAAATAAGTAAAAAACTACAGAGAGTTTTGGGTACTATGGAAAAAAATAAAACATGTTAATGTGTTAGAATTCCTAAAAAAGGAAGGAGACACCTCAGTCTATCTGGGCTGGAGCTACCTAAGGACATGAAGTGCATCGGAACAACCTGGGAGCATTGCCATCCTCACGGAACCTGGCTCAGATCAAAAGGGATTTATCTTTTGGTCTGGAGAGTTATATAGAAAAACATTTTGAGGTAGGAGTCCAGAAATCTTCTATTAACCAAAACTTCCCAGGAGATTCTAACATAGGACTTTTGTTTTCCTCTAGTTATTTTTCAAGACAGTGTTACTTATGAATAAAAGGTAGTGATGAAAAGGTCCAAAAATGCCTTCCAGGCATAAGGCACCAGGGACACTCCTATAGTTGAACAACTTGGGGTGAGCACTCAGTGCCGTGAGGGAGAACACACGCCATGGGGAACCGCATGAGAAACCTTGGTGACAAAGAAGGACTTATTGTAGTATTTGGCCTTCTCTTAGGTTATTTTTGGCAGGGTTTAAGGAATCAAAGCTTTGCTGTGGATTAGATGCTATCAGGAAGTGGGAGTAATTTTATAAATGGTATCTTAATAAATCTTTTCTAAAAGTAGGGAAGACCAGAGCAATGCTAAATTGTAATGAATAGAAAAACAACAGTCATGTTAGCTAGGATAGAGGGACATTTGGTCATTTTTGTGGTTTGGATAAGTGTTTTCATTTTTGTCTGTGTTCTGACATGATCAGAACTGTCTTTGTTTTTGTCTTTATCCTTCATGGCTGCCAAGTGGCCTTGTCTGGTGCTGATGTTCTGTGAAATTATTTATGGTTAAATAGGAGAACACCGATGACTGGCTGATAACGCCTGGCTAGAACCTGATGTCTGGTTCCTTTTTTGTCAAGGCTATCAGTCTAAGAATCGGAAGACAAGAATTATGTTCCAACGCTCTCATTTTCTGGTAATCATTTTAGGCAAATCATTTGATCTTTCTGAGCCTCATTTTCTGCATCCATAAAATTGTACTATCACCACTTATTCTATCTACCCTGCAGAAAGGTTAAAATGATCAAATTATACTGTGTTTATAAAAAGAACTTTGTAGGAAGGTAAGTGCTGTGAAATGTAGGGGATTGCTCTCGTGATCATCATCGTCATTGTGATCATGACCATCACCATTTTCCTAATGCAGTGGTCACAACACATTGAAAAGAGTTAATAATGAATGCCTTAGTACACTTATCATGTCGATTTGGCTGACCCGATCTCTTGCCAGACGTCCATACTAGCCCTCTGACAAAAATAAGGACATTGAAAAGGCTCCTTGATGACTGAAATAGCAGACAGCACAGACTTTCCAAATGGCACGGGACCTGGACATTATCTTTTCTGACTGCCTTCATGCTGTAGGGGAGAAGAGCAAGTGGCAGCAAGCTCAAGGGCTCTCTCGTGGTCACCAAGTGAGCTTATAGCAGATCTGGATCTGGAACTGAGCTCTCATAATTGGTCCATGGAAAAGGGATGTTTATTTGTCTAGGAAGGAGAAGGGGCTGAGCCAACGCCCGAGGAGCAGCCAGAAAAGGAGCTTTTGGAGGATGAGGACAAGCAGAAAGCTGGAGACAAGGACCAGAGAGTGAGCCCGAAAGAACAGTGATGTGCGTGGGGGCTTCAGATTGGATGCCCTGGAAGGGCTGAGATGTGGTCGCTTTCTTGGTGACACCAAAAACTTCAGGGAAGTCTGTCATATTGTCAATATTTTGGTTTGTAACCCGTTTTCTTAGGGGGAAGACTGAAGATCAGGAGCTAAAGAAGTGCTAGTGAATGAATAAATGGTCATAGGTGAGCACAGTTTGCCTACTCTGGATCCAGTCAGATGGCAAAGTAGTGGCAAGATGAGGACACAAACACTTGGGTTTGCCTCCGTGGACTTAGGCAATAACGTGAGACATGGCCCCTGAGGAGGCGAGAACACCTACCTGCCTATGTCTAAACTGTATTTACTATGAACTTGAGAACGGTACATGAGACATACGGGAGAGCGTGTTGAAGAGACGGCAGTAATTGGAGAACACAAAACGCAATTAATTGCTTTTCAGAGCTTCTCAGAATACAAAATGGAATTTACTGAGGGCCAGAACCAGTTGGGTGTATAGAGCTCAGTAACTGGTAGTTTTAGGTAAAATCCCACAGAGCGACTGTTGGTACAGAAGGCTTGTGCTTTTGTTGATTTTACCTGGGACTGCCAAACCTCCTTGGACACTGTAAAATCTCAAAACAAACAAACAAACAAACAAACAAATTCTAGAAAGAAATACAAGTAGAATTGGAGACGGCTTGGAGGTTCCTTGGCAGAGCCATTGTTCCTCTCTAGGATGAAAAAAAAGAAAATCACTGTTCGTAGCTCTAAGCTGGTCTTCAGTTATTGCCACTCTGTGCATGGTAGCCTGTGTGTGAAGTGCCTTCTTCATTAGTCTCCCAAACAAGGGGGACACCTGGAATCTATCAGGAAGCAGCAGGGGCCAGTTATGCCACTGTCACCAGCTGGGGAGCTGAAAGGCCCGGGGGCCATCCAGCCTGGTTTCCTTCCCCGACTCCCTTGATGCTGGGCCCTTCGCCCACTCTGGTGAGATGCTGTGGAAGACTCCCCCCATTTCACTTCTCGCAGGTCAGGGGTTTCCTGTTCCGACCCACTACTGAGGATACACCAAAACGGCAGCAGCATGAGTCACGCGCGCATTTGTGGTCTAGCCTGGGGACTCAACTATCACTTAAAACAGGGGTCCTGACCCCCCAGGCCTCCGAAGGGTACTGGTCTGTGGCCTGTTAGGAACTGGGTCGCACAGTAGGAGGTGAGTGGCAAGAGAGCGAGAGAGGCATCATCTGTATCTGCAGCCGCTCCCCAGCGCTAGCATCACCGCCTCAGCTCCAGCTCAGATCATCAGGCATTAGACTCTCATAGGAGCACCTCTCCCTGGTGCCAAAAAGGTTGGGGACCGCTGGTTTAAAACTCTGTTTCATGTGACAAGATTACCCGAATTGCTAACATTGGGATTTCTTCTGGGCTTCTGAGACATTCTGTAGTTAAGCAGAATTCCTGAACCCTCTGTCTGGATTGCCTCAGTAAACCTGGCCTCCTGGACGACAGGAGTCATTTGCTCTGGGGTAAGTACAGCACCAGGTATAACGGGCCATAGAAGAAATTCTCCGGGCACTGCTCTGTGCTGTCCATGGTGTGCGTAAGTGTAAGCGGAGAACCCTGAGGGGAAACTACAGGGGTAGGGGATGTTCATAGGAGCGCTGAGGATTTTATTTTGAACATATCCATCCTCTCTAGAAACCTTGAAAGGCTCCTGCCAGCTGGTGTTCGAATGGCTTTTGGTTCGCCTCGTTCTAATATTAGCTGTGTCATGCTTTGCTTTAAGGGTTAGGGATGGGAGTGTTAGCTCTCAAGAGGGCCTGACTTGGGCAGGGGAGACAGAAAAACAGAAGACAGGGAAGGAGGGAGGGAAGAGAAAGGAGAGACTGGAAGAGGGGAAGGAGAGAGAGAATGGGGAGAGACGAGGAGGAAGAAGGAAGGGCCGGAGAGAAAGAGCAGCGGGAAGGGGAGAAAAGGGAGAGAGGGGGGAGGAGGGGAAGGACAGAGAAGGGGTGCATGGGGGAGGAGAGTGGGAGGGAGAGGAAGGTAGAAAAGGAGGGATAAGGAGAACCGGAAGGGAAAAGAGAGGGCAACAGGGGAGAGGAATTAAGGGGAGAAAAAGAGGGGAGTTAGGGGGAGAAAAGGGAGAGGAGGAGGCGGGGATGGAGAGGGGAGACGGGAGAAGGAAGGGGAGAGAGAGACTGAACCACCGACTCTTTTGCTGAGTAACAGTCCGTTGGACAGTTCCAGCTTTATCAAAACAAAATCTCAAGTAAACTAAATCTCCCACTGCAAATAAATGGCAAATGATCAACAGGCTAAATAAGTTCGTTTTGGATACGGAAATCCGGGAGCTGCAGGTTGGATTTATGTCCCTCCTGGAGGCAATTTTCACACATGCCGCTTAAATCACTGCTTACCGAAGCCGTTTATTTAATTATTTAGCATGGTGACTGTGGGCCAGATGTTCTATAAGCACGGCCGACAACCCGGTCGCCTGCTAGAACAACATGTTTATGGATTACGGGCTCTGCTGTGCCACAGCCACACTTCCTTCCACCCGCCTTCTCCCCCGGTAGACGGTCCCAGCCTCCCACTGGCTGTGGATGCAGATGTCCACACGCAGCGCTCCTGCGGGCGCACAGTGAGGCTCCTTCCCCGGCAAGACTCTGGGCACAAAGGCGCCTGGTCCCCATGGCGTGTGCATCGGTGGGGCTCCAGATGTTTTAGTCAGAGTAACGTTTCAGGGCACTTGGGCAATTAGCTTCGCAAAAGGTCCATCTGTATACTTTCCTTTCAGCCCTGAAGCCAAACAAATGGCATTTCCTGTCTGGAAGTATAACAATGCCATTCGAACACACACCCCTTTTCCTTTCCACTGTGGGGTGCATAATGGCACCTGTTTCCCCACTGCTCATAACCTGCAGAAGAGGCATTGGTCATACCACTTAACACGTTACCACAGCCATGAGGCCCCTGTTTATCATTGTAAGCGGTACTGTGAGTAATCAAGCCTTGTTTAAATTTCAGGAAGTTGCAGCTTAAAACCCAGTGGGTGCTTTCCACATCTGTGAGGAGCAGATCTGCTATATTAAAAGAAACCATACAAACATATTCAGAGGGGGTACATCTGCATCTCACAATTGAGTTAGGTTCAAAGTTACCACGCAAAGCAAATATGGCTTGGATTCAAAGCCATATTTGGATTCAAAAAATCTCTTTTACACCCCATAAAGTATGGTGTGCATGACTTTGTGTATACTGTGCTCTCTCAATTAATCCAACACAGTCAGCTTTTCCTCCAGCGTTGGAGCAGAGAGCTCGTCTGTGGTTGAGCACCAGCTGAAGCAGCTGGCTTGTGTTTAGGGGCAATGCTACATGAAAAATAGTTTATTTTCCCCTAAACAAATATCATTGGATTTGCATAAGTTAAATGTGTGTATGTGATGAGACTCTACCCTTTGGTAGAATCATAGAACATATGCTACCTTCTCTTTCTCTGACACACTGTAAAACTTGTTTGCAGACATTTCTTCAGTTTACATGGTGTTTCGAGTTTTGGTTCGACATTTTCTGAGTGCTTAGCGTGGGCCAGTCACTACCAAGTTCTTTTTTCTCTTACCTGTTATCAGCTGAGTTAGCACTTTAGTCTGGTCATTGAGAATGTTCACTGTCACATTTCTGGCTGATTTGAAGTACAGGGCATTACCCTATAACAAGAAAATAAGAAAAACACATGAAAATGGCAGATTTCTAACCGAAAAACTAAAATCCTAACTCTTCAAGGAGCTGAACTGGTTTTAGCCAAGTCCAATCGGCATGTCTTTATTTGAAAACTTTAAGTGTTTAAGGATCCCCACATGCATGATAATTAACTAGCATTCATCTCAAATGGATTTCCTCCGCAGGAGAGACACTGACACACATT